CTTACATTAACTAACTTAGGTTGTGACTATAAATGTCACTTTTATCTTATGACCATCTTCACAATGTTGGTTGTCTTTTAGACGAGCCTAGCAAATATCATCTAAGTACAGGAAAGAAGCAAGTTTTCCGAGCTCTGTTATTGGAGCACAGAGCAAAAAGGGGAGGGGCCTAAGAAGGCTCAATTGATCAAAGAGGGTGCATTTACTCACCAACTCCATACACTAATTCAGTCATTCCCAGCCTTTTTCCTTAAAAGACCCCTTTTCTATCGTTGAGTAAACTAATGAACCCTGAATTAGTGACATACTTAATGGATTTTTCAAATTATATTCAATAATAACAGTACCAAAACAACAGATAAACATCACAAAGAACACAATAGTGAATGCAATAACAGGAAGTTATTGAATGAGCTATTTGCATGGATTTTAAAGAGATTATTTCCTGTAAGCATCAGAGATTACTTTTCCTGATCATTTCAGCGATCATATTATACAATTCTGTCTGTAAAATCAGTTTTATCTAGTTTATCCAGTTTCTTCACTGAAAAGAAACCCAGTTGGTGTCCCTACCCCCAGGTTGGAAATCATTGTTGTAAGTACACCATGGACCATTAAAACACCCAGCTTTCAGGCTGACCATTCTCTGGAGCCAACAGCATTGCGCTGGCTGGGCTATGAAGTTGTCGGAGAATCACTAAGCTCGATGTGTATTAGACGCAAGAGGTTTCACTTGGGTTTATGTTTGTTGGCCAAAGGTTGTGTGTCTCAAACTAAGTATTTTTTATCTGTGTAATACACTGTAGGGGACTTCAAATTCTTGTAGTATCACTTCCAGAGGGGCAGACAGAAGTTCTGTACTGCAGATTTAGGTTTTCGGGAAAGATGGTGGTTAAAAGAAACGGATGTCATTTGTTGAGAGGAGACAGGTTGAAAAATGTGGCCTTCAGTCAGATGTGGTTGAAAGCTCCACAAAAAGCTAACAAGTAATGGTTTATGTTGTTGCTGTGCTTTGGAAGGCTGTGACAAACAGTGATGTCATGCTGATAGAGATTATAAAACTCTCATATGGGTCATTTTGGTACCTGTTTTGTCATCTTGGTTGGAGGGCTTGTTGCAATGAAGTCAAACCAAAAGTTGCATTGAATAATCAAAACCCACAGGCCGTCACTGCACAAGCTGCCTCACTAAATCTTTATCCTTTCCCCTTCAAGCGCTGTACTCTTGCATGTTGGGCAGATCTTAAAGAGCGAGAAAGTTTGTGTCATGTGTTTAGATGTTTCCTGAGGGTTGTGTTTGAAGCGAAGTGTGTTTAGTTCTTGAGTGTACTAATTCAGATGCATAAATATTGAAGAAGGCCTGTTCCATCATCCTCCATTCCCACCCCACCTACTCCCATCCGGTCGCTATCAACACCCCTTCTGCTGTCTCCAACTCTTCCTCCTTCCTCGGCTCGCTCTGTTGCACCGATTCGACAGAGCTGAAAATACATCTCTGAGCTCAGCGCTGGGGAGGCAGCAGGAGAAAAGTCTTGTCAGCGGGAGGGTGGAAGAGGAAGAGGTGGGGGGGACCTGCGGTGCTATCTGTTGCCAATAAAGACACGCAATGCCCCTTCCACACATCCCTGTCAAGTGACCCGCCCCACTGCAATCATTGTACACGTTTCCTCCCCCTTTTTTCCATTCCTGTCACCTTCCTACCTCATACATTTCTATTGAAACAGTGAATTGGAAGTCTTCTCCTGCTCTTTCTCTTCATATCATTCGTATCTCTAATCATAATTTCTCTCCCCTTCGTTGGCGTTTTTTTTTTTTTTTTCAACCCCTCCTTTCCCACCTTAACATTTTCTTCACAGTTAACTTCTTTTTTCTTCTCTCTTCTACTTACAGCTCCTCCCTCATCCTGTCACACTCTGTCCCTCTTCCTTCTCTCCTCACCATCATGTTTTGAGGCTGATGAGTGAGATTGAGAGAGACTCGGGGACGGAGGATTTTAAAGACATTACCAGATCCTTCTATATTTCTGAAAAATGGCAAGCTAACTGGATACTTTAGATATTTACCTATGACAAAGTTACGGGGCTGCTCGATTACAGGGAAAAAATCACTATCACCCAATTATTTTGCGGTCTAACATTTGAAATCACCGATATTCAAAATGAGTATTTTTTTAAACTTCAGAAAACATGCTGCATTTATTCGGACATTTGTCAGAAATCACACTTTGCAAGTGAAGTCCTCTACGTTACCACTTTCCTTTCCCCGTAACCATTTGTACGGTTCCTCGTTACCTGTTCCAGACGAAAACAACGTGATCAGGACGAAGACTGCAACTAGTGTCGCGACCCACCAGCGCAAGTACTACAATAGTTACACGTTGCTCCCGTGACGTTCACATGCTGTCGCAGCGACAGGTCGTGGAAACGGCTTGTTATACCGAGCACATGACTCGGTGTGCAAGGTGCAGTGCTGTGGGGGAGGGGAACAGAAATACGCTACTGCGCGAAATTACGCAGGACTGTATATACAACGTTTGCGACAACGAATAATTAAGAAAATGAATCGTTTCCCCCAACGATTTTATTGGTTTTGAGATCGTTTGGCCCGCAAAATCGGAACTCAATGATCAAATTTCGATCTTTAATTTGAGCAGCCTTAGTTAAAATACAAGAAGGTATGATACTCATTAGTGGTATAATTTTGTGTACTTGTTGAGCAAATGCACTTATCGATACGTCCTTTCAGGCTTAAATCAGTCAAAACTAGTCAATAGTAAATAAGCTTCTATAGCCGAAAAGAATAAACTTCAATACCTTTTTATTTAAAACATTTCAAAGTCTTTACTACATATTATTACAACAAGACTTAATCGAAGAACATTTTGACAAAAAATGCAGGTCCTATTTAGAAAGCCTGGTCTGAATTCTCTCTTCCTCTGCAGAAAAACCACGGGTCGCCCACTTTGAGCGAGTTTCTGAAGCTTGCTTAGATTGCCAACAGCAAATCTATAATGTGTATGTTCTGTATGTAATGTAAAACTTCTGCCGTGAATATGGACATGCAGCACGGTACCGTGTACAGATCAGTTGGAGTTTCTCACGACCACAAAACGCCAAAGTTATCCAGTATGATCGAAAGTGACATGATTGTTACAGTCAAGGGCAAGCTGACTTGACGTGGTCGAGCAAGACTACGAAAACGGTGCTATAGTAAGTATAGGTCCATTTGACCATTTAATTGCATATTAACAGGCCTGTATAAATGCAGGATGGCATAGTTCAGTTGATTGAAGTGGACTATTCAATTGAACATCTAACGCGGTCTAATATGATCTGAGAAGCCTGCACTGCGGTTGGTGGAGGACACGAAGCCAGAAGCATAATTCTAGCTCGGTTTGTTTTAATGCGCCCTGTATGAACACAGAATTCAAATTCTGCTCTCTGAGGGGGTCAGTGGGTCTCAGACACTCTAAGAAAAATTCGGGGGCTGGGCAAAGTGGTTAACGGTGCTTATAGTTATCTCGGTTAACGCTCTAATTAATTATACGCCAGACAAATTATTTTATCTCGCATTTTACGCGAGTTTTTAAAATATTATTATTATTTGAAAGTCCGTTGCTCACTGGCTCTGCAACTGACGACAATCCAGTACCCAAAACCACTGTGGTCATCAGGAGGGGAGTAGGGAGGGGAGGCTTCGGCAGACTACGTTGTGATGCATGGTGTGGGTGAGAAGTATAGATAAACAAAACAAGACAAGCTAACAAATGCCATAGCGAGAAGTGGGATAGCTGTCAAACTGCAGGGCGATTAGTTATTGTGTAAGATAGGATCGCAACAAATGACGGCACGTTATGGAGCTCCCCTCAAGACGCACCGATCACAAGAAAATCACGATGGGGGGGCGGCGGGGGGGTGTTGTATGAAATGAAAGGACCAACAAACAGTGACGCGTTAAGATGTGCACCAACTGTTTGTCTCCACTGGAGACTACTGGATATCGCTGGGTAACCATTAATACCTCAGAGTTACAGGCATTATATTGATGGACAGTGTGAGCGTGTCATTCACATGCTCTAACTTGTAATGAAACAGACTTTTGCTGAACACGTGGTGCGGAACATTTTATTCATGTTTGCACGCAGATGGAACGTTTCAAATAAAGTCAGCACACTTTGCACAGATAGTGCAAGAAGTCATTTTTAAGCTGCTACTGTGTAAGGGAATAACGCTGTTAAAAAGTAACTTATTTTGTTTAAAGTTTAAAGTTGTGTTTCGATGTGCAACCAAATGTTATCTGCACTTTTGTTCAGGTTAGCAGTACTACAATACACTTCTTTTGAATTTTTGTTGTAATTTTGCGTAACTGTTCATTTTTTAATCGTTGCCCCAGCACTAGAAAAAAATAAATTGATAGTTTACAGTTATAATATCATCTATTTATTGAAATGGCTTATTTCTATCTGATTGTGAATTGCTGTCTCACACACAAAGTGTAATTCAAAAAGGAAACACGACGATGCGGGCTGCGAAGCCGGCTGAGCAGGATTTCGTGGTCGTTGTGTTTGTTTTCGTCCGGTTTGTATTTTGTTTTTTTGTTTTTGCGTTGATTGGCGGTACCCGCGCTCGGGGCGGGTGGGGGTTTTTTTTGTGAGCATTTTTGTTTGGAGTGCACATTGTTAGTCAGTGAATAATTCCACTGTGTCAACAGTCGGGCTTGGATATGTGATGTTTTAGCGTTGATTGGATCGTGTATGCCATCCACCACCAAGAGAGGTATAATTATAAGTGTTCAGTGCAATTATGTCCATCAATAGGGGGGCATTGAATGAAGCAGGCACAATGCAAATTAAATCAATAGTATAAACCTAAAGGCTGTGAAACAGTAGCGCTTGGATGTGCTCCAGAAGGCCTGATCACCATAGTTTGCAGTGAAATAAGGAGTGTTGTGTAGATTATGTTGTATTGATCTAAACACTTTGTCCTGCCCTCTCTCATACAGAAAAAGAGACTGTCCTGGAGCCATTTGTACTGAAGGACCTGCTGCCGTCCTTGCTGGGAAGTTACTATCGCTACACTGGCTCTCTGACCACTCCACCTTGCAGCAAGGTAGTGGAGTGGATCATCTTCAACAGACCCATCTACGTCTCCTACAAACAGGTGAGAATATTGGAAGTAGTAGTGGAACCACAGTGCAGCCATATTTAGGCCTACGGCCATCTGAGGATCCCATCTGAAACATCTTGTTACCTAATATATAAAACCATGATCTTGGGATTGAAGTCCATTATCCTGAAATAACGATAATAATGACAGGCTTCCATATTTCATTGTGTAGGTAAAGTCACTCCTGCCAGTGCAACAAATTCCTCTGTGTCCCAGAAACATAATTTATCGTATCTAGAAGATTATTAAGATTAAGTCATCATAACAAGAACGCGGTTTACCATGCGATAATTAGATAATTTAATAATTCTCTGCAAGTAATGACTTAAACATGACTAGTGACAAGACACTTGCAGTTTTGTTGTGTATGCTGCTTTGCATTGAGTAGTTACAAACAAAGAAAATCTAATAAAATCACCTTAGATGCACAAGAAACTTGGTTTTCAGGCTCCTTGTCCTGTGATATTTTGCATCTTGCATTTGTATCATAAGACACCATTGGTAACTGGAGATACGTAAGGTGTATCTGACACATTCAGTGCCCTTAAAAAATGCTCTCAATCCCCTAAGTTTAATTCAACAACCCACAACGTGTTAAGTAGCATTTACCATTCCCATATAACTGCTTGCGTAGTTAATTAATTAATAATTGTTCACAACCAGTTTTGCTGTCACACTTTCTTTGTATTTTATACTGAAATCTAATAATTTTGTTTTCCTGTAAGTGTGATGCATGCTTACAGAAGCATGAATTAACCAATTTCAACTAATAATGTCATGACATACAGCCGTCAATTAACTTTTAGTGACACATGAGTTAAGATTCATGAGTAAGCTAGCTAGCAACAACAAGGCTATCTACCAGAGCTCACTGATTACTGTACAAAAACACAACCTTATCACTTGTACAAAAAACAAAACTGTTGACTGGAACCAAACTCAAGACAGCCAGCCAGTTGGACGACAACAGTACTGAGGTGATTTACAGAGTTTCCCGATGGACAAAAATTTAACTGCACTCCCGCTAGTTAGCTTGTGCAGTTAATATTAGCTAACTCAGTCCTAGGGTGCCAGAAGCCAGACATGGCTTAAAAAACCTAAACACTTCTTAATGTATCTCAGTAGTCTTGCCTCTATTGGCACCACATGCTGTATTTGGTCTTCTACAAAAGTAGAATAAAAAATTCATAAACCCCAAATGAAATTGGATTTAAAAGCATTGTTCCTGCATCCTTTAAAGTCTGGAGATTATAATTACCAGTTGGGAAAGTAAAAATGTAAAATTGAGAAAACAGCACCTCCGCACAGCAGGTCCATGTTATGATGGAGTGTTCATGTAGGATGGACAGTTTATGGAGGACATGAGGCCAGCTTGGGCATCTTTGTGACAACAAATAAGCTTCTGTTTGCCATCAGCAATCACAGTAGGAGTGACATGAATAATGGAGGGGGAACTATGGTACAGTAAATTCATAAAGCTTTTCTTCACTGGGTTAAAGCAACGATGCCTCTTCATCATTTCAGCACCAAAGTTTAGATAAATGAAAAACAAGTCCTTCTTCTCTCTTGCAAGTCGTAGGATTTACACTATCCTGGAAGTTAAGGAATTTAACAAAAAGGACTGCCATCGTCATCACTACAAGTGGTAGGACTGCGTTGAGCCCTTTCAATGAGTGGGATTAAGGAAATTATCTTTCCCAGGGAGCTCCCAGTCCCAGACTCTGTTTGACATGAATGGAATGGATCACTATTATTGGTAAAACCTTTGTTTACCCCATGTCAATTAGCTACTGTGAAAAAGGTCTACGGAGGAAGATCTCCATACAAACTGAATGGGAAGCAACACAAAATATTAAGCCTAAAACTTTTGACACAAAGGTAGATCCCACACTAAGTGCAATATTCAGTGCTCATTAAGTACTTAAAAACCTGCCTCCTAACTTGAGCTTAAACGAGGACAGTGTTCAAGATCTTCAGGCCGGTTCAGCAACTCATAAAGACAATGCTCATTTGGCAGAGAAATTTGAGGTCTTGGAGAATCAAAGTCGACCTTCAAATCTCCTCTTTGTTGCGGGTTCCAGAGTGTGCGGAGGACCGTGATGTTCTTGGCTTTGTGCTCCAATTGATTCCAGAGCTTCTGGGGAAGATAATTTCCCTTTCCGCTCACTGAAAGAGCTCACTGTAGTCCTGCCGCTGCGAGATGACAAAGCAAGTTCTCTTAAATTCCTTAACTTCCAGGATAAAGTGAAAGTACTACATCTTGCCAGAGAAGAGAAGGAATTGCTTTACATTTTTTCAGACTTCAGTGCTGAACTGTTGAAGAGGCGTCATCGCTTTGACCCAGTGAATAATAAATGAATCCATGGAGTTTGATTGTCAATGGCAAACCAAAGCTTTTATTGTTGTCACAAAGACACCCAAGCTGACCTCATGTCCTACATGAATGCTCCATCATAACTTGGACCTGCTGTGCAGAGGTGCTGTTTTCTTGATTTTTCTCAACTTTGCTATTTCCATTCTGTTGTTTCCCAACAGGTATTAATGAGCTCTAGACCAGGGATCTCCAACTCAAATTGACTTGGGGCCACTGTTGGTATTGTCATCTCATGGGAGGGCCACTTCAGTTCAAGTGCTACAAGATAAGCAATATTGCTACAAGCAATATTCTAAAAATATTTCTATTAGAAGTAGTTTAAATTGAATTGAAACAACTAATACAAAAAATAATCTTGCCAGCTGGATTATGTTATATTTTTGACATCATGTCACTGGCTGGAGGGCCTGCAGTTTGAGACCCCTGCTCTAGACATGCAGATAAAACAATTTTAAATTTGATTTCACATTTCATTTGGTGGTAATGATTTTTTTTATTCTACTTTTGTTCAGAAAAAATGATACAGGCATCACTCATAGTTTTAAAAACTCTATGGCTTGTTTACATTTTACAGAGGTAGATGTCTTTCTTTCTCCCACATGCCCTCTCATTTAAAAAATAATATAATAATAATTTCATTATTCATTTATTTTTAATTATTATTGACATGGTATCCCTCAGATATCCGTATAGATGTGTGCATTTTCTTCATTATATTGTATAGACATTTATTACTTTCCTCTTCACAGAGTGAGCTTTTCTGTGGATTATAGTGATCTCTCTCTTTTTTGGGTCTGCTTTTGTGCTGTAATTTACTTTTGTGTTTTGTGATGTTTTTGTTTTCTTTAGCTTTTGTTTGTTTCTGTCTTTTTACAACCTTTTAATCTATCTCTGGATCAATTACAACTCCAGCTTATGTTTGAACAGTGATGGTGTTGATTAGTATTTTCTTGCAAAGTGGATAATATTAAAAATGAATTATTAAAAATGACCAAAAATGAAAGGAGCAAACAAATATTGAAACATGGTGTAGTAGCAAAATTGCAGATTCTTAAATCAAACTACCAAATTAAGGGCTGTATAGAGCTGATAGATGCACTAGGTGGTTGTGTGGCTACATATGTTTCATCAAACTTGTCACTTACAGCTGATGTAGATCTAAAACACTTTGAGTATCTTTTTGTTAAATTATTCTCTATGAGAATAAATATGTAGCAATCATGAATCCAGTTGCAGCTGTTGGGTCCTCTAGCTGTTTGAATTCAACCATTAATTTAATTAATTCCATGACTGCAGTAATGAAATAATCATTTTAGGTGAATTTAACTGAAATTGGTTAGATAAGTCCTCCTGCAAAGATAAAACTATCTTTTTCTCATTTGAACACAATTAATTAATGAACCTACTCAAGTCACTCCCAATTCCCAGTCTTTGCTTGACTGGATTCTTGTCTCACATCCGAATAGAATTTCAAAAGCTGCAGTTTTGTCAGACTATTCAGTGATTACTATGTGTGGAAGATAAAAAAGAGACTCTAATCACCACCCAAATTAATTAAAATTAGATGATAAGAAAATGGTTGTTTATTAATGATTTGATTGCTATTAATTCAGATGGATTCCAACTATTAGCTACCTTATGTTCATTATCTACTCCGAATTCCTTGAGGTGGTTGATATACATGCCGCCTGTAAACTTTTAAAAGTACAAACATTAACCTTGGACTTCCATAAAGTTTGTGCACAGTAATTAGTTCTGTTCAGGGAGTCAGCAGCAGCAGGTAGTCTGTTCTGACAATATACTGTATCTTCTAATAATGTGTCATGTTTAAATCAGGAAAAGTTCATTTGAGCCTGAATTAGTGTCCATTCTCACCGAAAACAAAATGTACACATCCTGCGCGAAGGTTAGTTGAGCAGTGACTCCTTACAGGTAGTGCAGTGGCTACCATTGGCTGTATGTTTGTAGTGAAATGGATGCAAGGAAGAAAACTGTTATCAGTAGGGTTGTGTTAAACTGGATGATAGAAAACCACAGAAAATGGTAGCTTCTACCACTTTATTTTTTTTCATCTACTGTTTGCCATTGGTCAATGCCACAAACGTTTGTGTCAAGTTCACCAAAGTTGAACTTCACTGAAGCAGTACACAAATATACTTGTGAATACACTAATTTTTGATATTTTTATCTACAGACCCTGCGGCTCAACTTTCATGGAGTTTGCCGCATTAAACTGCCATATTTCTACAGTAGCCCAGACCAACCATGGGCTCTAGATAGAGGCATTTGCTTTATTCGCACATTTCGCAGCCAACATGGTTTCTCTTTACGGTTGGAAGGTGAGGGTGAAGCAAGGGATTTGCGTTCTGAAATTACACCACAGATGCCACTAAATCCTACACACTGAACCTTAAAATTCTCTATTTCCTATGAGACTTTCCTTATTTTTGGTATTTTTGGAATCCATAGCTAGCCTAGCTAGGGAGACTCAAGATTATTACCCACCACTATTGATGCAAAATATAGAGGGAAAGTTCCCAGTTTTTTTAATTACAATTTATTTTTGACATCAATAAAGTGTCGGGGTGGTAAAACCAATCAACACATTGCAAAGAATTTT